ATGAGGTACGTATGGAGTGCAGTACTTTCCACCTTCTAGGCTGATCCCTTTGACCAGCCACCAAGAGTCACACTAATGGGTTCAACAGCAAAAAAGTGTAAATTCCTGACTCCTGCCTGGACCATGAAGAAACTTAAACCTCTCAACAGTTGCAGTGTTTTGGCATACCTATTCCCCCTTGCAAATAAGTATATCCCGTGGTGGTTGCTCATCCAGTTGTGATAGGGCAGTCTGTTCCAGGATATAATCTATTACTTTCTCATCTTTGGCACCTCAAGCTGATGCTCTGTCAGAGGGTCTCAAAGACATTTCTGTCCTGCCCCCACACTCATATTACCTGCTTTTCCAAAGGAGAGGTTATACAAAGCAAGAGTCATCTCTCACACGGGAGCCTTGCATGGGAACTGCATGAGTGCCAGGCCAAGGAAACAGCCAAGGAGAAGATGGGCAAAAGAATTGGCAGAGGCTGGGAAGTGAGAGCAGCCTGTCCACACTAGCTGTAGTCTAACCATTTCAAGGAACCAAAGCAGTGAAGACATGACAGGCTTCCCCTCGTGGTGGTAGCCGAAGTATTGGAATTTTCTAGGTGGGCTTGTGCTCTGTTGCTAGCCTGTACTGATACAGAACATCTTCACTGCTAATGATTCCTGTTTTGCCTTATATTGCCTAAATCATCCTAAATTGAAGATAGCCTAGATAGGCAAACTCCTAACACAGCTAAACCTGCATTTGGTTGTTTACATACACCTTAAGGAGGGCATTCTTTAGCATTCACTCATTGCTCTCACGCAGTGCCCTCTTTTAGTATTGATAGAAAATTTGCAATAATTTCCTCTATTCATGTGCAGACCAAGGAGTGCCACGAACGAGCAATGAAATGCAAGATCTGTGAGCTTGAAATGCCCTTCAACAAGCTGCAGGAACACTTGAACATCTGTGCCAGCCGAACAGAGCGGTGTTGGGAGTGTAACAAATACATCATGTACAAAGACCAGAAAAAACACAAAGATATTTGTCAGAACAGTGGTCTGCCCTATCATAAGGATGTGAACTTTCAAACCAGTGAAGCACCCACTAATGCAACATTTATTTGCCCCACTGGTAAGCAAAATTCCTCATTGTAATGGACTGGGTCAACTCTGTTAAATCTCAATGAAAATTCTCCTACCTTCTCCACAATTCTCAGTAATCCAGACTGGAGGGGACTGTTTAACCAACTGCAGTGAAAGGGCCAGGTGTTGCTTTCTCTTATATTGGTTATTGTAAAGCCAGAGTGGTTCCACTGCGTGGTAGCTCATTGGCCATGTTCTTTTATGCCTCCCTTATATCCTGGAAATGAAATTCCTTTTGTCAGAAAATAAGTGGAACTTCTTCCTCTTTCAATTTGTCGTGCAGGAGAAAATACGATTTAGAATTTCTTCCTACTTCATATATAAAATACAGTGATGCATACTTTTATTTCTTGAAGTTGAGAGCAGCTTTATTAGGCCTATGGTATTGGACAGAGTATGTCAAGACAAAAAAATCATGAATCCTGTCAATGATTCCAGAAAAGAACAGGCATCAGTAGGTGCAGTTGTTGGCAAAATAAACTATAGAGAGCAAAACCCCCTAGCAATAGAATTAGCTAGGCCAGGGTAGGAATGAAGCATCTTGAGCAGCAAAACATGGGAGTGGAACTTCAAATATCCTGAAGTTTGCGAGAAGGGATGGTGGATTGTTTTTGAGTGGTGCCAAAAGCAAAATGTAGTCACAGCTCTAATTCCTTCTTGGCCAGTGGAATCGGCATTCTGTGTTTCTCTAGAACCGGTGACCATAAGTGAATCTGAGCAGCCTGTCCAGATAACTAGTGTCAGTAATGTGTTTCTCTTCTTTTTTTTCTTTCCCTTCTGAAGGTACTGGTGGCAATCTTTGTCAGAAGTGCAATAAGTCATTCCCAGACGACCAGTACTCTCAACATCTGGTAAGCACATTTGAAAATGAACAAGAGAATGGTCTGTGCTTAATTTCCAGCCAGTATGCAGCTGAAGCATCACTGTGAGGTGGTGTCCACTGTCCCTCCCCATAACTCACCTCTGTCGCAAATCGCAACATACCACACAGTTGGGTGTAATGCCAATCTTTCTTCACCTCATTATGCATACTCTCTTTTAACAGAATGAATGCAGTGCAGCCCATAAGCTGACAAAAGTTCTTGCTGGCCAGTCAACTTCAGAACTCATCAGCGATCCATCACAGTCGTCTTCCTCCCTGGCTTCCTCTTCCTGCTCCGAGAATGCAACGGTGTGGAAAGATGTCCGTCCCAAAGCAAAAGAAAGGGATCAGCCACTGACCTCCAAAACTTTGCTTAAACGCCCAAAGAAGAAAAAGTCTGGCTTTCCCTCTCCCACAAGAGGTGGACTTTCCACATCACCTCAAGATCTTAAAGACACCCAGTCTTTTGATGTGCTGGTGACCTGTGCCCATTGCAACATTCTTCTGCCACTTCCAACCCTTCGGAAACATGAGGTGAGAAGTGACACATTGAACTCTGCCTCCTACATGCAAAGGACCATACCTACAGAATCACAACATAGCTCCACACTGCCTGGGGTCCCAGTGCCCGTTTCTGGATTCCACAGCTTCTCGAAATGCTGGCCATAGGTACACTCTCTCTATAAAGCGTGGAATTTGTTAATTCCATTTACTATTTGTGCTCACATCTACGCAAACAAGATCCATTGCCTATAGTCTGCTTGAGTTTTAGGAAAATAATAACCATGACTCAAGCCATTAATTTTAAGCTCCAGGCCTGGAAAGTCTTCAGCAATTGTCCTTATTAGCTGAAGGCTAATATTGTTCCTGCTAAACAAATAGTATGATTATCTCTCAGCTGCATCAGAGATGGAGCTCTAGATAATTTTCCATCCCAACAAAGGTACCCAGTTGCCTCCCTACTGAATGTGACTGCATTTTGACTATAATGTTAAATTCACCTCTGATATGACTGTTATTTGTTTTTCTAGATCAAATGTCTACGTTTGACATCTTTGAAAAATGCTAGGATGAAACAAAAATCAAGCTATGGAGAAAAAGGTACTGCAGAATTTCAGAAATTTAGAATAGAATTCATCATTCAGGATTATTCTACATTGGGTTAATAGGAACAAAGGGATATTTTGCAGAAGAAGTGCATCTTGAAAAGCTAGTACTCAGAATATCACAAAGCTCTTTAGATTCCACACGCAGTGGTTTGCCATGAGGTTGCATTAAGCAAGCATTGCTTCAGAGCCAGTATATTTTCACTCTCTTGACTCAGAGTAACATGTATTGTGCTGCTCAAATTGTGCTACTGTGGACAGTGCAGTACCTTCCCTGCTGTAAGCAGAGAGCAACACAAAAGATTTCACAGAACAGATGTTCTATCCCACGTCTGTATGCTCCAACACTGAATGGAAGCTTAAAGAATAGTTTCAGAAGACAAGAAGTAGTATTTTTTCTCCATAGTAAAAATTACATACTCAGTAGAAGCATTGATATAATTATTCCAGACAATACCGCCAGTTGAGCTTGTGCTGATCCACAGGCAGTAAGTCTCTTCCCTCACCCTGTCCCAGACAGGCTGTGAATCTTAGCACTTCTCTCTTTGCTACCCCCTGCCTCTGCTTTTCAGTTCCTAAGCAGTATTGTTTCCCCTCAGTCCAATTAATTAAGTGAAACTGAAAGCAGTTATTCTCAATCTTTCCTTTTTCTACTTGGTTCAGTAAATTAGGTATTACTTCTCCCTGTAAAACTTTCCTCTCCTGGTAAATTAAAGAGAGAAAGCACCAAAGTGAGAAATGGGGGGTTTGTCTAGTTTTGAATTACAGGACTCTAGCCTTGAAATAAAAGTAAATCCATGGTAATTACACAGATTATTTGACTTGCATTGTGTTTTTTTATATAGTTCAACTGAGCAATGACATAGGAAGGCCATAAAACCGAAACTTTAAAATCACTCATAACTGGGCTTTGTTTGTTTTACAGAAGACTCTTTCTACAGCGCTCATGATTAAATCTGGAATTAGAGGCGTGTCTTCAGATTGAAGCTTCAGCTCCACTTTAGCAAAAGGCACTGAAAGTGCCGTAGGTTTATTGACAAATAAAAGCAATTTGCTACTCTGGATCGAGAACAAAGAGTCACTCAGATTTTATTCCTTATCGAGAGAGGCATTTAAAAGGTTTCACCAGACAAGTGTGAAAGTGATGGGGGCTCAATAGCTGTTGTTGTTTCAAATATTTCTGTGGAAGCTTGCCTTAGGAATGTACTTCTCCTACCTGCTTCAGCAAGGAGAAGAGCTTATTTTAAAATGTTTATTCTGGGGGACAGAAGGAAATAAGGAATTTGGAATTCCTTGTCATGCTGAGTGCCACCAATTCCCCTTCCCCTCACCAAGAGCCGAGACCTTAGTGTTTTTCTGGGCCTGGCCCAGTGAAATTAAAGAACATTAGATCCTGCTCTCCTCCACTTCAGTGATCCACTGAACCTGGGGCTAGCACGAACAGCTGAGTCTCGGGAGACTGCAGATGCAGCCAAGGATAACTGAGGGTGCTCATCTTCTGACACACAAATGGAAACTGATAGAGCCCAGTGGTGGAAAAGTTAGACATGAAGGGTGAGTGGATGCTTTATGCTAATGTTTGTGAACATTTGTGAAACAGCCTTTGCTGCTTGGCATCTTACATCAATAAAGGCTACGACATGTTAACAGAAGTTTTACTACAAGGTGCCATTTTCCTCTCCTCCACCTTTAGCAGTGTTCAGTCTTACAAGCTGATGTGGAACTAATGTACATATGCTGACCTATAATTTGAGTAACATCTTACTTCTCAGATCCAAACGTGTGCATTTATGCACACGCAGACACAGGCTGTGAAGTCAGGCCGAGTCCATGAACTCTCTCTGATTCAGCAAGGGCCCAGGCTCATTTATGACTATCGTAGGCATATCTGTATGGGCAGGACTGAGCTGAAGTGCACCAATGGACATTCCAAGAGTAGATACTTCCAGCCTTGTAACCACTTGGCTCGTGCCAGCATTGTGAGTGGGACAGTGGCTGGTCATGCGGCCTGGCAAGTGTTCGTGACTTCTGAGGCTCCCTCAACCTCTGCAGCATAGACGCTGTTTGTAACAATCAATTTTCCTACATGCATTCAGACCTCATTAATCTGAATCTGAAACTCTGCTGCTCAAAGGCCAAGAGCGCATGACTCCACTCCCTGTCTGTCCCAGATGCTTTGTTGATCAGTGTCTAGTGAATTGTGTTTGAGAGCTTGCGAGAGTAGGGATTTTCAAACACAATTTAAGACAGCGCACACTGAGGTTTATCTAAAGCTTTTAAACAATTGTTCCGAACTTCTGGTAAGGAGGTCTAACATTGAACATGGTGCTATGAAACCAAATTTTCTGTATTTGGGGGCAGAGGAAAGGGCTGTGAAAGCATGTCCGTTAAAGCTGTATCACTCTATGCATAAATTTATCCTCTTTTATTCTGCACTCATTAGACTTTCACATAGTTTAGTATCCTTATTATTCTTTCATACACATCACAGCAATGGACTTGATGGAGCTCCACACAAGCATAAGCTCTTGTGTATTTTGGGGTCTGTACAGGTTCCAGCAAAGCTGGACTTAGGCCTCCCAGGAACCGTTTCCGTACTGTTCTTTGAAGTCTTTTTGAAGAGGGCTGGTAAACATGACATGGTCTGAAGAGAATCCACAGTAAACAAGTAACACAAGTTTGGAGACAAAGTGAGCAGGCAGCTCATGCGCCACAGTCTAAATACAGAGAACAACATGAAAGCATTTTCATCCCTTTTGAAAGGGAACTTTGAAAGATTTGCTGCCCGATGCTTTGCACCTAGAAAGACCCCAATCTACCAGAGAGGACAACAAACGGGCAGGAACAGGCTAGTAAGGGGATGGCGCTCGCACTGGCCCTGTTATCACAAGAGAGCTGCAGACTAACCCGCGCTCCGGTAGCACAGGACTGCCACGGAGTCACACCTTGTGCTGAGAGATGGGAACCAAAGTAGCTGGGTCTGAAAAGTGTCACAAAACTCACATTAGAGCACAAGGCCAGCTTTGTCCTTACAGCCCCTTTGCTTTTTTTTCGGGGGGG